AATCCAGAAATCAGAAATTTGGTTTCAAGAAAATAAAAAATCTGCAACTCCAGCTATATCCTGACAGCAATTCATCACTGTAGTGTGCATGTGATGAAAAAAAGATGTAGCAATATTGATGGTATAGCACAGAGATAGTTTAGAATATAGTTCCATACTGAAGAGAAAGAATTCTGATTAGGTAGAATGCTAAATGTTGAATCCGTAATCATTAGGAAATTTGCAGCTTAATAAGATTGAATATTCATTTTTTACTTCAATTTACATTTGTGACCACAATTTACTTGGCACTCTAATTATGCCTATTCAACACTATTTACATTTTTGCTACTGTTGCAACAGGTACAGAGCAAAGCGAAATAGTGTTGTTACAGATGGAAAGGTAGAAGCTAAAGTGTACAATTAATCCAATTTGGAAGCTTACCAAGAGGAGATTTTGGTTTAGGTTAGAAAGGTTTCAGTCTGCGAAATTGAGAGTTTAGGTTCCTAATTACGTATATAATCAGCGTTACACAAGCCATGTGACATAGATTAATCTAGAAATGGCACAATCCAGAAAAATTATTATTTTTAGAATACAGAGAGAAAATACTCAAGTTAGAAATGAGGAATTAAGAGGCTATTACTAAATTAAATTATAAAGCTGATTTACATATTTTTTATCTTAAATATATAAACTGAAAATAACTAAAATATATCTTGTTTTAGGAACCTTGATAAGTTTATGAAAATGTTTGACAGATGCCTGAGCATTATTATGTGCACAAACATTAATTTTAGTATTACACACTCTAAAAAATCATCTGTCACATTTGGGCATCAGCACTATGAGTAAGTGATTTCTCTGCTGGCTAGTAGTTCATGCGTGAAAAAAAAAAGAGAAAGGAAAAAAAAAAAACAAAAAAGTTCAACTGTATACATTAATTTATTGTAAGAAAATAAATTTTTTTTCTTACAATAAATTATTGTTTGTTGAAATGTGAATCTTCTCCTCCATCTGCAATTTGTTATTTCATAAGTTGTTTAACACAATAATAACACAATAAATAGGTTGAGATTTGAATAAATCTTATTTTTATAAATCTGCATGTTTTACTGACTGTGCCACCTTACATCCAAAACCTAACAATTTTTGTTTTTAAGGGAGGAAGAAGAATATCTTTAAAAGAATTACATACTTTTATTTTAATTAAAATTTTTCTTGATATCATTAGTAATTTTATTTGAAGTTATTCAGTGTGCTACTGTAACAGTTTTGTATGTCGTACTTAGCACTAGTGCTGAAGATTATTGATACCTGGTGGATATTAGTAAAGATATTTTGAAAAAATTTAATGAAAGACCATTTTTTTCCTAGTGCAGCATGAAATAAATAAATTATAAAATATCATTAACAGCACTATTACTCAAAGCCTAGTCTTACATGATTTGTCAATGAATTATCAAGTTTTATTTATTTGACGGAAAAGACAAATGGAACTTTTCCTTTTATAAATTGAAATTTCAGGCAGAAAGGAAAACAAACAAATCTTCAAACTAATGCTGCATTCATAATCTTTTTGTCAGATTTTAAATAGCTTAAAAAGTATTGCTATTTTGAAGCTACAGTAATTGATCAAAAGAAGAATTGAGGTTTGTATTTCAACAACTTCTACTGCCAAATTTTAGCAGAAACAAAAATGCCTTGGTAAGTTTGAAATGTATTTCAATGAAACTGCACTCAGCAAAAAATTTCAAATTTTATGCTGAGTTTTTTAATATTTATTTGCTTACTATTAAACCATACCAACTTATCTTATAACCTCATAATTTATTATTAAAAAATTAAAATAAAATTTTATATCTCAGTTAAGCTAAAGAAAGGTAATTTTTTCATCTCTAATATGCATTTATAATCACATCTCTTTCTCATATTTTCTATAGATATGTCCTTGACGTTTTACATTAAATTTTTATGAAGATTTTTGTTAGATGAATAAAAATAATTATAGAATTGTATTTGAATGTGTAATATTTTTTATATCTCTAATCTAAGTTAGAAATAGAATCCCAGTTATCAAAAATATGTTAATATAACACCTAGCATTTTTGCCTTAACATAAATTTATGTGATATAAAAGTAAATAATTTTTTTAACAAAGAGTAATAATTTTCTTCTTTTGTTCTAGGTAAGCATGTTGCAGCACAAAACTTTACAAACATGCACATCTCTAAATAAACATAAGGAACATTACTTGACTGCTGCGTTTATTCAGACTGCTCATGCAAATATCCCTCCCCCAATTACAGTGCCTCCAGATCCATCTAATGATGGCACAACTGATTGAGCAATTCAGTTAAAAACTCAAAACTTTTGAGTTTTTCAATTTCAATTTTATTCAAAAGTAAAGAATTTGCTTTCACAAGTTGGCAGCAATAGAAGATAAATACGTATTTTTTCGTATATGAAAATTTTTTGAAGATTTTTAAACTTTTTAATGGTAATTCTTCTTTTAGGTGTTAGATTGTAATCTGAAGTTTTCAGATAGCAATTCGGGGAGGGAGGGGGTGCAAAAGCATACATTTATAATGAAGACTTATGTTGTATTTTCAAGCTTCTTTTTTAAGTGCAAATTACATGTAAATCTGTTTTCACTTTTCTAGAAGAATCTTACATTGAGATTGGCACAATTTTTTTTTACTCTGAATATATATAAAAAAAAGAACTTTACACTGTAATTTGTATGCAGAAAGCACAGTTATTTATACTGTAAATAATGGCAGAGTTTTATTTATTTTTTTTAGTTATAAGAATCACTCAAAACAGATTTTAATCATTATTCTTTTATTTATAATTTACCACATATTGATGACATTTTTTTTTTGTGCACTACAATATTATTGAATTACACAAAATTTAAATGCTGAAGTTTATGGAAATATTTTTCCTTCAACTTAAGTTAGATTTTAAGCCAATTTAGATTTTAGATGGATTTTGCCAAAGCAAAGCTTTTTAAATATTGAAAAAAATATGGCAACATTATACTGGGCAATAACATACTGATATGTGCAAGCATTTAATACAATTTTACAGGAAACTGTTGAATTCACTAAATTGCTTGACAGATTTTGTTTTGTACATTTAAACCGTCACAGCAAAGCTCACCAGTGCAGTAAATCTTTCTTTTTGCCACCATTTATATACTTTCAAGCATGATATCAGCTTTAGATGTATAATGTTACAAAATTTCATGTGTAAGATTGCTTAATTTCACAGTCCATATTGTTTAAATAATAAAATAAAATTTAAGTTTCAACAGCTATCAAAAAACACTAAACATATGATTTTCTAGTTTAGTGACAGTAACAACATCATTTTCTATTTAAAGTTCATCAAACACATCAATGTATACAAAACAGTTATACAGAAATGCTTCTGATAGACAAGATTTTGTTACACTCGTGACCTATCTTTACACTGAATGTTTACTCAAAGTACATTAAAGAGGTTCCAAAATTAACTAGATTACTTTTTAAAATTGCGGCCATTTCTCGATTAAAGTATTATTCAAAGATTAGATGCTATCATGACACAATTTAGTATTTTAATACAGAAAGAGCTATGCTTTACTGCACGTGGAAGATTGTTATTACAGTCTGTATAAAACTGACACATTAATACATTCTACACTGAACATGCACAGGACAACACAGTTAGGTCAGTAGATTATAAAATTCCACAAACTGGGGAGAAAGGTAAGAGGACCAGTAATACTTGTGTACAGGTGGCACACTAATAAAATAAAATCAACACTAATAGGATATACATTTTCCCTCCCTTTTTCTAATATTTCTCAAATGCTTGTGAGAAAGCCAATAAATTACAAACTTGTTTTCAAAAATCTTATGAAAGTGAACTAATATTAATGCAGCACTTGTTGGTAAGATTCATAATCTATGTAAATTCCTACTTCAATTTTGAAGAAAGTAATTTTCTAAGGCTTTTGGTATTCCTCACTTAGAATGTGCAATAACACAATTCTAGAAAATCTGCACTTTTATTTTTGAAAATTTAAGCAATCAACTCAGAAGCAAGTGCACTGCAATTCTTGTAACTTTCTCACAATACTGTAAACTAATATGAAAGCAAAACAAAAAGTGGCAACATGATAACATGAATGTCCTATATGTACATAATGTTAATTTTCAATGTAGCAGTTGCTGTGGGCCAACTAACAAATATTAATCACAGCACATACATGGCACACAAAGTTAAAAGAAATAACAGGAATGTAATGACTTGGCTTTAGAGACATTATACTATGTCACTACTTAATTAAATAGCATTACACAAGTGAATATATTATATATATTTAGTCATAGAGCAAGACAACAACTTTGCTTGGTCAACCCACTGATTAACTGAAGTTCATGAAAACAAAAGTCCTCAATTTAAACATGTCATTGTTATAGTTTCCTAAAACAACACTAATTGAAATATACATATGTATGTTATACAATGTAAAATTAATTTCTTTTGCTTAAATCTACACACATGTACATTATAGAAAAATAACAGTAATAGTGGCAGATCGCAATAATAATTATTTAGCAAATCATTTACATATTCAATAAAATTTATCAAACAAAACTATACAAGTGTAATGATAAGCAAAATATGTATTTTGGTGGTAAATTTTTTACATAAGGAATGAAATTAAGTATTAATAAGTCTTCATTTAAAGAACTAATATATTCCTACCTATGAATCAGAAAATAAAACATGCTAATTCTAGATACAGTACGGGCAAATATATAGGATTAATTATATTTTATGTAAAATGAAAATGAAACAATCTATTAACTAAGACAATATGTTAATGTGAAAATATTGCATACATCCATGATAAACATACATGTAAATAAAACATAACTTACCAAAAAAAAAGTTAAAAAATTAAGAGTACATAACTTGGAGAAAAACATGAATAAATGAATAACACTTTAAGTTTTTTTTTTTCTTTTTTTTTTAACAAAGCTTGAAAAGCTAGCTAATTTGTTAACTTTCAAAATACAGAAATTCATTTTTTCTCCTTTCAAATTAAATTCACTTCATAGTCACCCTATAGCCAATGCTATCATCATTCAAACTACAAAGGAATTTTTTTCTTGCAAATTTTTTCTTTCTTTCTTTTTTTTTTTTTTTTGGCTTTTCTGTTGTTACTAAAACTGGCGACTAAAATGCTAGTAAAGTGTTGGTTAGTAACACAATGTGTGTATGAAGCAAAATATTAAGTAATATTCAGTTGCTCTGAGTTTCAAAATACTTATAAGTGGGATTCTCGTAACCATTGATTTGCATGTTAGCAACATGCCTTTCTTCTGGGGTTGCAGCTTGGTCCACTTCAATGAATCCCTGCCCATGAGGGGAGCGATGCGAGTGTCGCCGCAGCAGAACTATGCCAACAATCATGGCTGTGAGCAATGCAACACCAGCAAATGCCAAAGTGATGTACACACTTCCATTCCATCTTAGCCTTTCCATACTCTCTTTTCTTACAGAAAATGTCTAGAAAAAAATTATACATCTTAATGGGCTGATGTTTAATATGTTTATATTTAAACTTACAACAAACATTAAAATCAATATGTAAGGTAAACTTTTAAGTTATTGTATATACCATGGGTGGCCACAAGAGTTGTAGATTGTATTATTTACTCAATTTTAAAAGCGTGAATCAGTGAAATAACGTATAAATATATTTAATATTGTTTCATAAAAATACATTTCTCCTGCTCCATATTCAAAAAAGTAAATTTCTACAAAGTAGAGATTTGAAAATATTGCAGTGTTCTTTTTTCAAACAAAGCATTTCCTTCTTTTATGTGAAATTATGTTAGATAGTTATATGCCCGTACTTTCACTAAATGCATGTAATTTACGTCAATTTTCACATGTGTATGTCACATTTTTTAGGCATTTCATATTATAAAGATATATGAGATACCACATTTGAATGATTAAAGCAACTTTTCAATCTCCATATTTTTTGAACTTGCACTATATTTCAATATTCACATTTCACACACTATATTATAAGAATTATTACTTTTGCCATGTTCTACCAAACCTTCTTCTGACCATTAACTCTGTTACAGCTTGTATATATTTTGCCTGTCTACTTTTAAAAATTAGCTAGAAAGCAATTCATAAATGCTACATACTTTTAAACAAATATTTAGCAAAAAAAGCACTCTTTCTAATATAAATTGTAATATAACAGAAAACTAAACAAATTGTAAAATAATAAATGCCATTACATGACAAATTCCAGTTTCTGTGTGAAGGAAATTATGACAGAGAAAAATATAATTTTTCTGTCACTTCTTTCTGAAGAATAATTAAGTAAACAATAATCATGAAATAAATTTAAAAATTACTTTTCATCTAAAAAGAAAAACTGTAACGTGATTAAGATTAAAGTTTACAGATAAAAAAAAAAAAAAAATAGTGATGAAAATCAAAACTAATAAGGAAAGCAAACACTTACAACTTCATTATGATGAAAGGCTTGGTTCTGGATGTGTGCCATTTTAGGTATGGGCATTTCCTCATGATCAAGAGAGTTATGCTCAACACCAGATAAATCAGCTAACTTTGAGGGCTCTGGCTTTGCTGTACTCTGTGCAAGGACACTTTCATCTTCCATAGTTTCTGGATCAAACTCTTGCTCTAATTTGCCACCATGATTAGCTTCAACTCGTTTCTTTTCTTCACGTAGCTCTTTCAGTTCTTGCCTCCTCTCTTCCATAAGCTTCTTCTGCCTTTCACGTTCTGAAATCAATATAAAATTCAAGGTAAGAAACACATTCACTGCTTTGTATTCCCTCCCTTTTAATTTTCCAAAAATTTTCAATAATTAACATACTGAAATCAGCTCCTTGCATGGCCAGCACCTAAAATGGTTACAAAAAGAAAAATGCACGAGATTTTTTGTCAAAAAAGGCACAGTCATATACCAAGCATCTTTAATTTGCAATCTGGTAACAATACATGTGTACCACGTGACACATGCTAAATTACACAGCATATACACTGTGAAAAAAGCGAAGTAAAAAGCAAATATTGGATTTCTTTTACATGAATTAAATGTGCACATGATTATACTATTGATGAGATGTATAGGAATACCCTTTTATTTTGTGTGAAAATTCTGGAAGATGAAGAAAGACTTGGGCATCCAATTAATGTTTGCAACAAAGAATATATTAGCAAAAGAAGAAAAGATAAAAAGATTGCAGTAAGAATAAATCACAGATAATTTTTTAAATTTTTTTTTTAAAAAGATAACAGATAAAAAATTAAAAAAATCATAGTAGAAGGTTGTAGAAAAAAGCTCATTTCCTCACTTTTGCATGTCTTATTAAATGAAAAGATAGATAGATACAAATACAATAGTATATTCAGAATGAAACAGATGATTACCTGACAAAAGCTTACTATAGAAATCCACAGAAAGAAACCCAGTCATGATTGCACACACAATAAATAAAAGCACAGATAAAAGCTCACATGAATAAATATTCTCACAGAAATATAGACACAGAAGACAGAAAAACATGGACAGAGGAAAAAAAAAATACTCACAAAAACTTTTTATACTCAAATCAATATCAAATATAAACTCTTAATAAAGTATTTTAATTTGATAAGCAATATTTTATAATTATTGATACTGTGACTAATTACAAATGGAGTATTTGACTCAAACTATATGAACTAGTAACAAATGTAGGATGAGTTTGATTGCAATAATATCACATTCATGAAAGGAAAGAGTAACATTCCATTGTTGGTTTCCTCGCATGCTCAAAGTTTGGCTAAAATGCACTAATAAGTTATTACCTTCAGCATGAATAGTTATATAGATCTTCAGACCTAAAAAACCTGCAGTTTTTTTGATAGCCTGAAATCACGGGATACACAGTCATCAACCCATAATAATTTTAAAAAAATCATTACATATATTAATGATGACTACTTCCTATCAATAAAGAGTTTAGAGTCCATACGAATGAAGCCAGCAAGATTAAACTTAAACACATAAATATCCAGTGCAAATAGAATGACATGATATTTGATATTACCTTTTTGTTTTTCTGTTACTTCTTCTTTATATTTTTCCACAATAGCTTCATCTGCATCACGAGTAATTGTTGCCTTTGGCCCCAATCCATGCAAATGATGCCAGACTGCAACTATAAAAAATACTTTTTGTTAGTAATATATATTACTTGAAACTTAATTTTCAATGTCTCAAAGGTAAGTACTTCTTTAATTAGCAAGTTTTATTTCAAGTGAAGATAATTATTCCTTCAATTTTTTTCTAAAATTTTTAACAAGTTATAAGGTATTTCCTTCCTCCTTCCAGCATGCCTTCATGTTGTAAAAATAGCATGCTTGGCCCGTACTGGAGAGGTCTAGGTTTGAGTCCTGGTGTGTGCATTGCACATTTTTCACATCTCTTGCTTCAAAATAGCCAAATGACTACAAATGGTATTTGAACTAAAAGGCGATGGACAATAATTCGTCTCCAACAGAATTTGGCAGTTGGGTCTGCTAATCTCCAGTTGCCCTTTAAAAAAAGGGGGAGTACAGAAGGTACTTTATCCTTCCTTCCAGCATGCCTTCATGTAATCTGCTTCAAAAAATCCTAATGATTCTACAAGGTAAATATACAAACCTATCTGAGGGTTAAAAATATAATTGTGTTTCGGATTTTTGTAAATAAATGGCAAATATGGAACAAATAAGTATGACTGGTAAACTAATTACAAATCATAATCCCATATAAAATTTTATTTTCCTTAAAAAAGTAAGGTGCTTACCCAGTATCGTATTTCTAACATGAATATGATTTTTTACAAAATATGAACAGAACAAAAATTTGCAAATAACAACAGCTAATTAAAGAAACCTAAAAGGTTGCTGAGATCAAATAAAGTAATTTAACTAGACATATTATGGACTGCAAGTAAATAAAAACAAGTACTGTAAGTAAAAGTAATTAGAGTACACAACAGATTAAAATTCAAATATTAAAATATAAAAAATATGCAGATATAAAAAGGAAGGATTAAATTTTAAATATAAGATTCAGATGTTACATTACTTTTTATAAATGAGTGCAAAAAGCACTTGTATACTTGAACCTTGAATTACAACGAAACACACAGTTGCAGAACATGCTGTTAACCAGAAGCCTTAGTGATAGCATAAAATAGTTAACTAATATGTAATTTGCATTAAATGCATATTTTCAAAATAAAATACTCTAGAAAGGTAAAAATAAGACATAAATCACAAGGAAGAAGAAATAAATATAACACTGTTACATAATTCACCAATATTATGAGTTTAGGCTATCTGTTTGTAACATGATTTAAATCAGCATGGTGTTAGAGGATACATAATACTGGAAATGTTATATTCTCAATTGCAGGAATAAAAAATGGAAAGATGATTAAAAAAATCACTAGCATGTTTAAAATATTTTTGCATTAACAACAAAGTCATGCCAAAGTCATACTTCATAACAGCAAAGTTAATACTTTATAACTAATACTTTTGTTTTTGTGATAACTTAAAGATTTACAGACTACACGAAAAAAACTATCAGAATCATTAAAAACTTTTTATGACATAACAGTATTACAGTCATACAGATTTTGTTACATTAAAAAAGTATTCAAGCAAATAAAAAAAGGGGGGAAGAGATTAAGTCAGAGTTTTCTTCCAATTGCTTCTATGAACTATTTATTACATTTTTGGTTCTAAAAAAAATGCTCAGTCAGATATGATTAACATTCTTATAGACTTTTAGACAAATACTCATCACAAGCTTACCCCATTGCACCACTATCCACAAGTAATAAGATACAGCTGTGAAATTTTTACAGAAGCACAGCAGGCATACTATGCAGATAAGATTTATCTTTAAATTTTTTCACTATTAATGGTGCTATATGAAGTCTGCAAGTCTTTCTGCGCTTATATCTTAACAAAAAAATTTTAACATTTTATAATAGATTTGAATTCATTTTATGATAGTAAATGATATATACCTAGGATTTCTTACATGACCCCTTCCTTGCTAATGTCCACAAAAAGCATTATGTGTGCTAACTTTTCCGAACTGTTATCTTCAAAACAATTCTCAGCGGTATAATGTATGGGGGAAGGTAAGTATAAGCAAATTTGTGTGATTCAAGTCCACATACTTCAAAGTTGAACAATATTTTCATAAACACATATTCATATATGAAAATAATCTAAGAAATTTGATTTTTAACATTATATATGAGCAACAGAAGTAAATGCATACCCATTCTCGTCCTTATCTTATCAGCAACATTAGGAACTCGGTCCAGCATGGCAAGGCTTTGGTTAGCAATTTTATTTAAGCTATCTAAATGCTCCAATGTCGCTTCTTTTTCTTTAAGAGCCTGTTTGAAATTTGAGTTAAGCAAATGGCGATAATGATTAAGAGTGTGACGTCGATCTTTTTCCAAAGCCCGAAGAAGTTTTTCCAAGCACTTTTCAATTTTCTTTGTCTATAAAAGAAAATAAAATGTGAACAATTTAATACACATAATAAAAGTCAAATTATGAACCTATTGCTGTTAAAACAACCGCAACAATGGGATTTTACCACAATGCAAGATTAAGTAAATATTCAAGTTTAGGTGATGAATTTTTAAAGCTGTTACAGGGACAAAATTGAAAATAATTAGATTAAGCAACAAGAAAGAGAGCAGAGCGATGTTATTCTGTTATACTGTAAGCACAAGCAATGCAGCAAAACTGAATTGTGGGTTTGTGATGTATTTGGAACAAGGCAAAAATGAAACAGTATACTTGCATTTCCAAAACAATTCTGTACCATAATCAGTACGTCTATCATCACACAAAAAAGTATGAATGACTAAGTTGCATTTGAGGCAGTAGTTCCATGTCTTGCAACTGTTTTTAAATGATTAATGAATTGCAAGAACAAATAATACGACAGTTAATACAGGAAAATGTGAACAAAGTGTGTCATACATTTGCAACAAGAAAAAAAGGATGAGAAACCCATATTCACAAGTCTCTACACATTGGTATGAAAAGAGTACAAATGTTCCTGGATGGTCATTAGGCTGTTCAAAAGCTCTACTACAGAGATATCCTCAACAAGCTATAAAAGCAAGCATGCATGAAAACACTTGAAAAATTTCATCAAGAGTCATCTAATGCAATATACATTATTGTAACAAGTGATAAACCTTCCATCTCCTGCTATGAGCCTCACAGCAGATAGCAGTCATTACAGTGTGTAATCCTTGCCAACTAAAGTTAATCAAAAATGCAGCATTCAAGAGGGAGGGGAATTAAATAAATAAAATAAAAAAGCAAATCTGAAAGCATTCAGGTGCCCAAGCCAAGGAATGCACCCAGTGAAATAAAAAAATAATCAAAATCTGAGTTACCAGCAAATGCACCATACTGATAAAATTAAATAAATATGGCAATCTAAATATTCTGACAATCGACTCATTGTCAATCTAAACATGTTATGCAATCTGCAATGTAGCAATCGTCTTGACTAACTACCTCATATCCACTACAAATGCCACTGTTAAAATAAACTTGTCTATATGAACAGACAAAGGTTACCCATGTCCTACTAATGACCAGTGTGTGTACACTCAAACAAGATATGCAGAGACTTATTGAAGAACATGGATAGAAATGAATTTAAAAAAAAACACAAACATAACAAAATTTTCAACTTCTTAGCACTGTACAAAAGAAATCACAATTTATTAAGATGATTTTAATATGACTTTTGGCAGCAAACATATACACATAAATAACTGGATGATTTGTTAACTGGACATAGATATAATGATGACACTTTGAATTACCTTGGCAAGATGTTGGTGGCATCACAGATGCATAACATAGGAGAAAAACTTGCAGATGTGGCATAGACAAGACATAATTTACAACTGGATTTTCTTGCCATATAAGCTAATTTACAACTGGATAATGATGTGTGATTGTGAGACACATTCTCACAATCACACATCATTAAGGGTGCAAAATGCATCTACATAATTTTACAGCTTCTTACATATAAATGGATGAGATAATCATCTCATAATAAATGGATAAGACATCACGATCATATAAATGGATGAGACAATTCTCACACATAACGATGATGTAACGGAGAGATGAACTGCATATCTTAGCAGAGACAAAGCAAAAAAGAGAAAGTACTAAGCAGTAAACAAGCATAAAATATAGAGTCAAAAAAGTTTTTTTTTTTAAATTTGATTGGAAGAAAAAAAACCTCTGCATTGCTATGTATATAAGATGGCTTGATAGATTAATTTTGAGGTGACATACTTTAGATTCAACATGGAGAAAGGGAAAGCAGCCAAATTAAAATAAGTAATAAAAAGAGCAATTGTCAAATTAAAGTTAGAGCTTCTTTCATATTTTATATCTTACATACAGGTATTTATAAGCTATTTATATTTCTTTTCTACAGGGCAAAAAATACATTTTGTAAAGTTCTAATTATTGCTGAAATTTTAAAGAAAATAATTTTACAGCAAAGTAATAAAGCTGGTTAGATTAATGTGCTTAATCATTCTTTGGTTGGAGAGCTAATTAATAGACTACACAAAAATAAATGCAAATTTAATAACCTTTGGAGAAGTCTGATCTAAAGCAGCAGTATAACAATCCATTGCAGCCTTCTTCCTCATGTGGATAATGGACATAATACGTTGCTGATGCATAGCAGACATTTGTCGTTTTGCCGCAGATCCTTCTTCTTCTAAAGCTTCAACAGTTTTCTGGAATCTCTGCAAAAGTTTATTACAGTCAGGAAGGGGAAAAAATCTGAAATTTTCTTATTACTTTATTTTGATGTTATCACAAATTTTGGAATAAGACATAATTTATAAAAATAATAAATAAAAGACATACAGCACTCATTTTCTTCCTGAAATCTTCAGCAGCTTTAGGATCTTTCACTTTCATTTCTTGGTATCGCTCTTCAAGCTCACTCCATTCTTTCATCACCTAATTAAATATAAAAAATATATGAAATTAATATATAAGCAAACCAAAGTAGAATTATATGCTGATACTTTTGACCAATAAATCACTTTTATTTCAATAGAATACCAAATAACTCTGTGCTTAGAGCATCTCTATATAAATGCTATTTCATGTGATCTTGTTTCACAAATACAATTTTGACATACCACAAACAGGGATCTAAACAATTCCTATTTTTTTAGCACAACTTTCATTATATGATGCAGTTTCTTGGATGTACACCTTTGTAGGCATAATGGTAAAAATAATTCTACTTAATAAATTTTGCTTGATTTAACACCAAATTTATACACTTTATCTTTCCAAACGGAGGTTACACATCAACTTCATCTAACATTAGCTCTAACTTGTTCCATTTCTAAAACAGTTCCTGAGAGTAAGAAATAGATAGGAAAGATAATAGATAAGTAAGATATAGATAGATAGATAGGAAAGAAATAGATAGGAATAATATTTCATGTTGTTTAGGGTATCTGAAACAGCACACTAACTTTGAACTAGATGACTTCTGCTCATCTCTTATGTAACTTATGCATAACAAAAAAAGGTTAATCAAATCACTGGACATTTAAAAAATGCATAAAAAATGAAAAAGTTGACATAACAAAGATGCAAATCTGCATCAAAATACATGCCATGATTTTTTTACCCCTTAGAAGGTTTTAGTAAATCACATTTGTTTTAATTGAAATACAGTGACCTAGTGCTCCTTTCAGTAGTAAATATGATTTCTGCAAAAAGAAACGAACACCGTGCTGGTTTCAAATGCAAAGCAATTCATTTTGCTAAAGAAAATTGAAATCATATTGCAGCAAGGATGTTTGGCATTGGTGAAAGATGGAACAGATAATGATTATTTATTTATGGATCGAAATAACAATGATGGTGAAGATGGAACAAAATTCGATGATATGCCTGAAGATATAAAGAAAGATTAATATAACAAACTCTTCATGTTATCAGATAATGAAAATGTTTAATTTCATAAGGTGCGTCTTTTCTTACAAATAAGCAGCATTTTGGTGCATGTAAAATTCTAATTTTTTCCTTATTTGTAAGTTATTATTCTTATATCCGGTGTATAACGTGCACCTGTAAATTTTGATCCTATTTTTTGTATTAAAAGTGTGTGTTATATGCTGGAATATATGGTATATGAGGAAGAGCATCTTACAAAAATGTGACAATCTGTATTATATTTTGTGAGTCACTGATAGTATAATGGCTTCTTTGTGAATGGATGAGAACTCTTTTGCCAATATTAAATAGTTATGATTGTGAATATTTCAATGTAATGAGAAACCTGTTTTATTTGTTCAAAGGAGAACACATTGTGGATCATTAACAATTTTTTCAGTAACCATGTGATCTATCTTCTAGTTTATGGTATCACTTGATTGCAGCTGTCATAGATACAAGTGCAGCATATAAGTCAAGATCTGAAAAAGCAATAAATTTTGGAGTTTTAGCATTTTCTTCAGCACTGATGCCAATATTTGTTGATCTTCTGGCAAGAGTTTCAGTTTGTGTTGCAATGTAACTTGCAAGAGATTTTTCAAAGGCCAAATTCCCAGTTTTCTTGAAATGTCACATGAAAATTATTAATGCTAAAAAACAGTTATTCATCCTCAGCATATTTCCAAATGTTTCTGTCCAGTACCATATCAGCAATACCTTATTAACCTGATTCAAGTAACAACAGCTTATCATTAAAGTTTTTGACAATAAGCCAGTATAGAAAAGGTACTTCAAGTTTTGCTGGTATTTCTTCTAAAGGGAATTTCATTTGCATACCTATGCTTCCCATAATGCACCCAAACAAAAATTCTGAACTAAAATGTGTTTTGCTGCCAAAATAAATCTAAATTTATAGGATGAATTTCGGTACAAAACACATCCTTATACAATTCATTCATTCATTTTTTAAGAATTTTTAACAAGTGCCTTTGGGTTCTGCTTTTATATTAACTGAATATTCAGTTTTCAAGATGCAAGTTTAAAAAGTACTTGTTTATAATGTGCACCTTTAGAAAATGCAAAACCAAGACAAATCAGGAAAACATATTACACAACTTTTTTACTAAATCTGACAAAAATTTTGAAACCAAAAGTAAGGTTTGTACAAGCAACAATATTCAACCCTATATTTAGTTACACCCTTCCAAAGATCCACTTCACTTCTAATTATACTGGAAGCAAAAAATGTATCTGTTCTCATAAATTCCTTAGACTTCCTAAAGAATAAGCCGCCTTTCACATGTGGATGGAGGCTTTTCTGTCCACTCAACTTTCATCAAAGTGTTAAATTCTCAAAGACAGACAGGCATGCATTCAAAAAGTTAAAAATCAGTTTTTAAGGCAAATTTATTATGAAAACAAAGTTTTTGAAATCCAAAGAAGTTTTCTGCTGAAATTCGATTTTATTACATAAAAGAGGTGTCTGAGCCTTTTCATTATTAAGAGCTTTGGTATGCTTCCTCTAGGATTTAAATTTATCTAAAAGATAAAGAAGTACTGAAAGCCAGGCTCAAGCGCAATTTAAGCTTTGATCTAGTGATTTTGAAGGATGCAGCTAAATTTTTCCTACAAGCAACAAATAAATCAAGGTATATTTCATTTTTAATTACTAATGATAATCATTATTAAAAGCATTATTTAGACCTACGGTTACTTACTTTGGTAACACGTTCTCTATGACTTTCTTCCAAAGATTTTTGAGCCTCTTTAAAGAATTCATGTTCATGCTTTTTGTCAAAATGGCTGTAGTAATAATCAACAGGTCTTTCAGTGGTGGTGGTAGTTGTAGTGGTGGTTGTAGTGGTAGTTGTAGTGCTAGTTGTGGAAGGACGAGAATTATCTTCATCATCATCATCAGAATAATCATCATCATCATAATAATCATCATCATAATCTTCATCTTCATCAGAACTGTCTTCAGAATCAACTCCATTATCACCTTTGCGACTTTCGTCATTAACTAAACCAATGTCTTTCTCTGTTAAGCAATAAGAAGTAAATTAAATTTAGAATATTTTAATATCATAATAACAAAAAATTAAACATTTGAAAATAAACACGCATAAAAATATTTTATTTAATTTTATTAATGCCCACTATCATAATTCTTGAAATATCTGATTAGCTGAATTCATCTATTAAAAAATTAAAGAATGAAAAAAAATTGCATAAATTACAGTACAGTTAAAAAGGGTAATATTTTCACGTTTAAATAAGCTCTGAAAATGTGGAATTTGATTTGAAAAGCTAATATTACATAATCATGAAAAAAAAAAATGCAATGTTACTGGCTCTTTGCAATTCATATTTTAATAAAAATAAAAAAAAATTAAATATACAGAACATATTAGGCTCATACAATCCAGAACTATATTTTACGCTATTTTCATTAGTTTGATTCTGAAACTGAAGTACAAACATTTTATTGAAAACTTAAGAAATGCCACTGCTGATGAATTAGCAATCACCACATATTGCATTCAATTAACTATGGAGTATTCAAAAAGTCTATTGCATTAATGTGTTTTAATATGCAGTCAAAAGTCGTTAATCTGGACTCATCGGGACTTCGGTGATTCCAGATTATAGACCATCAGTTTAAATCTAATAAGATGGCATGCAGAAATTATAAAAATTAAAAATATGAAACTGTAATTTATGAAATAAAGAACAATTATAATCTAAAGGGTATCAAAATTTACAAAAAAAAAAAAAAAAAAAAAAAAAAAAAAAAGCTTAATATTTATTTTTTTACTTTATTAAACATTTCTTTCAATGTAAGTTGTTTAAGTTGCTTCGTTTTTTATGTGATAATACTTTCTCTTTAATTCTATAAACAGACATAATTTCTTATTCAGTTACAAAGTTCCGCTGTTCAAGACCTATAATTGCTGTGTCAAGAATACCGACTAATTTGTCAATCGAAATTTTTTCGTTTTCAATAACCTCTATGTCACTTTCTTCGCTATCGGAAAAGCGAATTATAATGACGAGGAATTTGATTTAAATCATATCAAAGACGGAGTGCATCGAGATGAAATACTACATTTAGTAAGGAATTATAAGCCAAATAAAATAAAAACATCTGCCCTGAAGATAAGGATAGTGCTGACAGATCAACTTCCAATCCATTGCGCGCCGCGGCGTCCCCCCCCCGCCGCATAGCAGAGTGAAATTGATAAACAGATTTCGGAATGGTTAGATAAACGAAGGATATGCCTTTATTTATTTTTTGCAGCAATTCCACTTTTTGTTTAATGGACTTCGAAACATACTTTCGCTTTGTAGATCCTTTACATGTTAGTAAATATATATCAGAAATTCTATTTGACATAATCGAAAGTTCAAGCTTACTTTTATAAAATTGCTCTAACAGTCTGCAAAAAATAAGCCGGATCCAATTCGAAGATTAAGGAACAACGCAATCTGCAACATTAACTGAATTAGATAATTTTAGCTTAGCTTATACCATCTGTTATACATTAAATGCACGTGCCTCAACGTATTATGCACATGCACACACGCATATGCGCAGCCATAAAGGTCTTATGGGCATGCACAGAAAGTTTGTAGCTTTGAGGTCCACATTATGGTGTCCGAATTAACGACTTTTGACTGTATTTTGAGCTTCTAAAAGTCCTGACTGGAGCAAACAGTTTATGTCTCAGTGTAAATGTTGTATCATAAATTATAATATGACATTTAGCTTAAGAGAGCTTCTCCTGACACATGTGCCGTTCACGTTTATCCGTGCGGTGATGATGACGTAACTGTTTATTACGTATGTATGTATATGTATATCATTCTTTTCTTCGCCCTTTTTCTCTGCTGTATGCAACTATGTTTAAGTTAATCTCTGTCATTAAAAATGTTCATTGATATTACAATCTATTTAGGCCCATTTATTTCTTCAGTAAAGCTGTTACTAAATATTTTTTTAAATACTTGATCAGTTTCAGTTATTTGCTTAATCAAGATCTTCAAAAAATGTATCAACAGCTTATGTATTAATATTCATTATTGTATCAAAATATTAATTATATCAGATCATTTTATGTCTAGTCAAACATAATTTGTTATTGAATACCTATTATGCTGAATTGCTAAGAAGTACTTGTGTAAGAATAAAATCCACAGTCAACTGCTGCCTTTCTGTAGATGGAAGTAGAAATACTGATATAAAATTATATCCTCCTTATCTGCAACATTAACTGAATTAGATAATTTTAGCATAGCTTATACCATCTGTTATACATTAAATGCGCATGCGTAAACGTATTATGCACATGCGCACACGCATATTCGCTGGTCTGACACATGCGCAGAAAGTTTGTAGCTTTGAGGTCCGGATTATAGATAATTTCGGATTATGGGTGTCTGAATTAACGACTTTTGACTGTATACATTATATAAGCAAAGTTCATATTCCTGTGTGAATATGTTCAAACAACATATTCACACAGGAATAATGAAATATTCCCCCTGCTAATGCAAAATACTACTATAAAAATAGCTAGTAATCGAGACTTGCTTCAAAATCCAAAGAGACAAACCAACAGGTGTTAAAACAAATTTCACATAAAAATTACCACAATAGAAAATTTCATAAAAAATAAAGGCAATAGATTTGACATTTCCCAGTACATCTTCATTAGAAAGTTGGTGTATTGCACCAACCCTTTTATATATAAAATTTTTTAAGAAAATTAAATATTGCTTTAATTTTTGTACATAATGCTTGTTCTTTCCCTATGCATAAACATGCTACCTTCATGTGAAATTTGGGTCAATCAAAACTTTCCTTTTCCATTTTTGTTAATTTTTCCATGACTAACTTTTGAAGCCAATGTATAAGGTCATTTGCCCATAAAGCATTGTTTTTCAAATTTAATAATTCATATAAATAACCTTGTATTGTAGCAGCATTTTATTCAATATACACAGATTATTTTTAAATATAAACCAACTTACCATTCTTTGGGCAGCAAACGAATTCAACCCCAGAGAATAGATCAACACCACAAGGGAGCAACATAGCAAAACTCCTGAGCTGCATGGTTCTATCAAGACAGCTGTGTGCTGCAGTGTTGTTCCACTCATCAAAAGTCTGACATATGCTTTGATTATGAATGTGATCAAAAAGGCAGTGCTCAGGTACTAACAATGCATCGCTCTGGAACTGTCCTTCTATAATTCAACAAAAAACAGCCTCATAAATATACATAATATTCAAAGAACCCATTAAGTACATATTTAATAGTTGATGATATCAAATACAGTTTAAATAACATAATGATAACAACTATGAAATATTCTGAACTTTAAAAGCATACTTAAGCAAAGATATTGATGAACATCATGTATATGTTACTTAATTACCAGCTATCAAAATTGTCTGGAAGAATGCATGTCATTTTAGGAATGTTTTACTGTATATATTTTATTATCCTTGTTGCACTTAGTATCACTTTTAAGAAAAGTCTGTTAACTATTGGTTTCCATACTGGCTTTATTATGTGAATGCAAATATTCCATAACTCAAAATTACAGCAGAGCCTACTTGGAACATTTCTCCAAACCAACCCATATAAAAATAAAAAACTTCTTAATTGAGAACATCTTTTTTACTACAAACATAATAAATCTGGACATTTACTTACTATTTTGGAATTAAATCAATTTACCTTTGTTTTTTCAAAATAAATTAAATATAGTTTTAAATTTTTTATATTGTATTTTAAAGTTTTAATTAAATTATTATTTGATTGTTCCTTCTCCTTTCAATAATTGTAAAACAAAAATATTTAAGTTGTCCTAAAACAACTTTTCAGGAATACTGATTCTCTTTGTATGCCCAAATGTTTTCTAACAATTTATTACCTCTTTTTAAATAGGAAAGGATCTTCTTTCATTTTCTGTCAAAATCTGCATGACATAGCATCAATATCCACTTTTATAAAATCATTAAAAGTTAAACTGGAACTAATTTTATTCTGTAATGTTTTCTAAACCTTTTCCTCAGCATCAAGGCTATATCACCACCACAAAATCTTGCTTTTCAAAACAGTTTGAGATGATGTTTGGCATAACTGATTTCCACTATGTTACAAAATGTATGGTCTCAAACGTATTAAAGCTTTTAAATCCTTCTATAATTGTTATTTTTTTGACAAGAGAAGTTGTACCAGTTCTTGAAAATACTGCTTAAATTCACTGATGATTCCCTAATCCTAGGATTGTAACATGAAAATAAAATTGCTGGCAAAAATATTATTTTCATATTTTCTAAATGATTAGTATTTTTCAAATTACCTGCATATTTTAAAATTTTTCCGCACCTTTATTTCCTCATTTTTCATTCAATCCAGTTAAATATTCCTCATACAGTCATCAAAATATTCTTGTTGCTTTTAAAATGGAATGATGGTGTTTTAATTTTTTCGAAATAAAGGTTTCATTACTTTTCCTGTTAAAAATAAGTATAAATTTTCTGTAGCACCATTCACATTGCTTCCACTTGATACTTTCATCCAGATTAAAAGTGTCTTTTGTTTAACACCTAGAAAGTAATCCTGGCAAAACTTGAGCTTTGTGTTCATTTCATGTGATATTCATATTTCAGTTATTTAATAGACAGTTAAATTTTATTATTTAATATAAAGGGGCATAAAAATATCCCAATATTACAAATAAAACTTACGGAGACATCTGTAAGGCTTCACCCAATGACTGGCTTTGCATTTTTTCTGGCCAGGTTTGCACCAGTTGTCAATTTTGAAGTAGCGACTAGATTCAACAATATTTGTGATATCTTTTGATGGATACATCTGGAAAAGCAAATAACACCAAGTTAATATATACTATAACATTCTGATGATAAAAACAACATTAAATTTGTGTAAAATTGTAATTTATTATCATGAAAATTGTGTTATACAACTTATATCATTACACTCCTAAATTTAAAAGTGCACTGGAACAATGCATTGGAAACAACTAAATTTAATGGACTAATTAATAGGAATAAAAGGGAAAAGGAGAAAATCAGTTTGAGAAGTAGTAGGATCATAACTCATGATTATAAACATCAAAATTTTTTTTAATTTCCTTCATTATAGTAACTGAATAATCGTATCAGTCTGATATTAGTTATGCAATTATCATCAAAAGTTATGATGATGCTAACATTCCAATTAATTCTCACGATAAGGTTAGATTTTTAGGATCCCACATGATAAAATAGTGCACAATATGAAATATGCTTTTAGTCAATAAGTGCATTTAAAAGTATATAACAGATTTTATATCGTATTTTATCGCTGGTCCCCAACCTTAACAACAAAATGCAGTTTCTGCTGGTATTTTTACTATTTATCAGAGAACCAAATCCACTGAAAACAACAAACATCTCTACAAAGTGTTTAAAAAAATAATTTTACTGCTTATATTCAAATCCTTGCGGAAAAAAAAAAAAAAAAAAAAAAAGATTTAGATCAGCTTTTTTAGATCAGAGGCTAAAATAAATTATTTCTTTTAGTTTTTATTCCACTAAATACTGTAAAAACTTAGAAATGGAACCATACAACATGACAAGAAAAAGCAAACAGATCTACCAAATCATTCCATCTGAATTCAGTGAAAGTTAATGACTTTTCTTTATTAAAGAGGACAGATAAATTTCAAAAAAGCTGCTTTCTCAGGGATATCTTGCAAAACTTCGCAAAATAATCGCGACGAAGTTTCGTTCGTACTCCATAAATCCATAAATCTGGATATTTAAAATATATATATATATATATCTCGTGTGGACAACAAATGACTTCCTTGTAAGACCTATTAAATTATACACGTCATTTAAACTTATTTTCTCAAACTTCATTAGAGATACATTTCTCATTTAATCAATTTAGTTCCCATTGCGCGGAAAGGCAAAAACAGTTAAAAAAAGTTTTAAAAAAATTATTTTTTTTTCCCCCCAGTTCTTCACAAAAATAAGCGATTCGGCAGCGGGCAGAAAGACCAAATTTTCGGTGCACAAAACTGAAAGTTAACTTTTGGCCTCACTGTGCAGAAAGACATTGAAGTTCATGCATCAATTGACTATTCTACTAAGAGTTTGATTGTAAACAAATGGCGGCCTTGTTAAGCCTAGCGCCACTTAAAACTTTTAAACTGTTGATAATTCTACAACTATTAAATGCAGATTTATTAAAGGCATGAAAACCTTAACCGGAACATAAGAGACACGTAATTCATCATCTTTTAAAGCCAAAAATGCAATTCACCAACACATAAAAATGAAAACCGAATTCAACAAGCCTTACAAAGAAAAAGTAGGTGTAGAAATAACTACATGTTATAGCAGTCCCATATACAAAATTTCAACGTTCTACGGCTACTCATTTTTGAGTTATGCGAGATACATAGATACGTACAAACGTTACTAAAAAAAAATCTCCTTTGAGCAATCCGTTTTGGAAGAAAGAGTCCTTCATTTTGTCCATGGAAGGGAAAAAAATCATTCATATGGGTTCGCGAGCGATGAAAATGGATATTTTCGTTAAAATATGATACCCGAATTTTTGCGCGATTTACAATACTTCCTTTACTTCGGACAAGGAAGTAAAAATACAAAATGAACAAATTAGGATATCAGAGTAGTTTCGACAAATAATCGCAACGATCCACACATATATGGTATTCCATAAATCTGGATATATTTTAAATAAATGATACAAAATGAACAAATTAGGATATTAGATCAGAGTTTACACCTAAAACACTTATTCCACAAACGCATTTTTTTGGCGCTTAATATACATTTTAGTTCAAATTTCCACTGATAGATGGCGCTGTACCAATTAAATCACACAAAAATGTGTACATTTAAATCCTGTGAAATAAGCTATGCAATTTAGAATTCGAGACGTACTGCTACACTTTCAATATTATCATAATATCCTCATAAACGAAAACGTATTAAAATATGGTATAACTAATTTTTCCATTTTATTCTTAAAAGAGTATAGCGCCTTCTGTCAGCGAAAACTTGAATTAAAATTTATTCACTTACTGAAATTTTAAATTAAGCCTTTCTTCTAAAGTCAGACTGTAATAAATCTTTATACACAAACTGCGCTCTGATATTTCGTTGATCTTTGAGATTTTAAGCATCCAAATTTAAGGGAACCACGTATATTAAGAACATATATCGTACTAAAAAAATCATATATGAAAGCTTATAAATATACAGGATGTCTACAAAGTTCCGAACAATTTTAACCGTTTGCTGTTTGCGAATGAAACAACTTACGCCATTGATACTGATTACACTTTCACAAGCAATGTTCAAAGTGACACAAATAACACAACTTTGACATGTGCACCACTAGTTGCCAGCCCTTCAACTGTAAACAACTGTAGTTAATCAAAATATCAAGGTAAAATCTGGCTGTTGTTCATGAAAGCAAAATGGTCCTAAACTCTTGTCATGCGGCATCCTATACCAAATATTTTCTTTCGGACTCTCCCGCTTCAACTTCCTTCTGACACGAGGATTTTCGAATCCCAAATCCTCACAGTATATGTATGTTAAGCCAGAACTAATTATCATGAAAAACTTTGATATAGCTGTAATAATACCACAAAAATTTACAGCACTACCTTTTACAGAGTGCCCACAAAAACAGAGCAAACTTGTTTAGGGACTTTCTGGACACCTTATATTTTAGTTATCTAACTGTACATTTCATTTTACATTTCACAATTTATTTAACTAAATAACGATCTCGAACTTTAGAAGAGGTTGATGAAATTTTAGCAAACTCTAATATTATTATGATTACCACTACTTTGCGTTAATTTCAAGAATAAAATCTGTCCCATACAAAATATCTGAATATTCATAGGCTTTCAAAATCCCAGAAACAAAGTTTCCGGTACTAAATTATGGGAATGGAAGGCAGTGAAATGAAAGCAATTTCCTGAGGTACAATATATGCGGTTAAGGACCGAAATATCAATAAATATAATGATGAAATTACGGTCCATCCATCAACTTAATTCCTTTCAGGATTAAATACAACAAAAGAGAAATCCGTTGTCTGGTTTCCACGGCAACTTAAATGGCATAGTTTCGAAGATAAACCCCTGAGATTGCAAGTTCCTGAAATAACAGTGGAACGTTTCCATAGGCAGAGAAATGTATTCACACGTCTGAGGCATTATTATTTCCTAAGATAGTTTCTAATTGCTAAGAGATAATTTTGGAATCATCGAACGGTATTTTGTATTCCTTTAATACATTCTGATCACGACCAGCGAAATAAATACGGCGATTCACAGCTGGTAAATGGCTCATTTTGTTACACTGAAAACAGCTAAATGAAAAATTTCATGGTATATGCATTGATAACATTCGAACAACCTTAGTTCTCTCACGGATGTGAATAAAACGAAAACATTAACAACTCGAAGACGTTGCAAAATCTTCTATAACTCGCAATTTACTAGGTGGTAATACTTTTATAGGATATTAAAATGTTATTTTCTGCTTATTTATTTCTGAAAGTATAATTCTAGCTTTCTGATATGTGATTCTGTGCTTTTATGTATCATTCATAAGTCAAAGATAAAAGCAACACATAATGTACCATACATTCACAGAAAAGCATGGCAACGAACAGAGAGACACGGAAGGAGTTAAGGTAATTCTGACGGAAGAAAAGCCAGACACAGCAACAAGAACATCACGTAGTCTTTGAAATCCCATTCTTATGCACATGCATAAGTTATTAGGAAACCAGGCTTTTGTCTACCGAGAATAAATGGATAAAAATGTTGGATCCAGATATCCCACATAGGGGATTAGGATAAGTAAACGCCATGGGTGGTTAATTTTATCACCGAGATATTTACATAAACCGAGACGGAACGTTATGACGGTATTGTATTATTTTATGAGTCACAAACCTGTTTATGTATGATATATGTTTATTCCAAAACTAAACAGCAGATACAATTTGCTAAGTGTGAAAGTCGAATAAAATTTTTGTATAAATAAAAGTCCATACATCTTTCTACAATACGATGCACCTTTTTGATTTCATTTGTTAATTCTTCTCATTGCTTGCACGCGCCTGCGATCAGGAAAGACTTTCAAAACACAGAAACAAAACAGAACAGAAATGAATATAGGAGAACGAAACGAAAACATATAAGCACTTAAATACAATATTGAAGAATTACAAAGGAATAATATTCAATTTGTAATTTTTTGGGTACTTTTCCGTTTCGCTGGCGCAAATCTCGCCAAGCAGACTTTATTGGCGACAACATACATTATACACACAAAAAATATTAAAAAAATGTTAGTCCTAAGAATTCTTTTTTTGAAGGCATAAACATTTTAATATCGCTTAAAATTTTATAAAAAGCCAATAAATTTATAAAAAGACATTAATTTAAGAATTTACTATGCTTTCATGGTTCAACATCCTGTTTCGCCGGTTCATATCTCGTGACCCCAAGCGATCTCATCTCACGTATACTACTCTACAAAAATATAATGCTTTCAGTAATTATCTACATTAATTTCAAGTTAAATCTTAATTTGGAACACAAGTTTAAATGCAAGAAATACTTCAATTCGTACGAATAGCTTACTCAGAAATTATGTAAAACTGCAGTGCTTTACTTCGCTAATGCATTCTCATTAGAATTGATGAATTTAACCCTTGACTTTACCTTTTCTATATTTTCGGCTTCGGGTAAGCGCTGTGATTGCATCCTAATTGATTTAATTGCCGAAAATGGCCTTAGACATAAA